TTTCATCTGCAGATTTAACATCTTTCTCGGGTTTTAGGGCCATAGTACTGGAGCCTGTAGTAATGTATACAGATGTAAATTCCTATTGGCATTTTGAAGTAAAAAATAACAAGTATTGTCTTGACCTATTGGTGAGCAGTCAAAGCACTGCTAGCATAAATAGAACGGATACAACTGAGTAGCAGCATACAGTTATACTAATACTGCTAAATGAGACTAATATTTTGAAACTGTTTTGAAAGTTGCTAATATTTAGAAAGATCTGCATAGAGATATGTTTGGTGTCTAGCAAGAGGTTTTGGTAAACGCATATGGTTGTGGTACTACACTATAAGGAAGGGTTATGTTTCCCTGTCAGTGGTCTGAATATCTTTCTGAATGAATTTGTGAGCTTTTGATAGAAACTTGAGTAACTTGTGATGTGCTAGCTAAAAACATATATTTGTTTTAAAGTTGTTATCCGGTTATTACTATAAATTGTTTTAAGCACTTTTTTTACAGAATAGTAATCATATTTCTGTATTGAAACAGATTTAGCTTGTGATATAACACATGAGCTGGGGAGAAATGTTTATTTGTATTGTGGACAAGGAAAAAAAATGCAGCAAATTTCAGTACAATAACATTTGAATTAATGCTTCCCTTAGTGTTTTTATTTCAGTTGAAATACCTCGGAAATGAATAAACAAGCTTTTTTGCAATTTTAGTTTTCTGACTGATAATAGCTTTATGAGTGTGGCTATTTTGACAAATTAGGTGTAGTATCCAAAAGCTAATTTAATCAGTAGTGACCATCAATCCTTTACTACACCCGATCAGAAAAACAAAGAGTTTATTATTCACAGAGAAACTGTATTCACACTTCCAGAGGTTACACAGTTACAACAAAGGTGTATGTTCTGACCAGTGGCACATTAATATATTTTAAACTTTTGGGGGGTGATGCTCAAATCCGGACTACCTTAAAGCAATTTTTTTTTGTACAGTGCCCAATGTCATCTTTATAGGAATGCAAATTTTTAACATGCACAGTTCAGGAGCTGCAAAAACAAAAACACAAATCACTGTGAAGATTAGGCTATTTAGCATCTGCATTTTAAGCCCAGAGATAAGGTGAGCCTGGAGAACATACCACTGGAACAGTGCAAAAGTGAAATTAAACTTGAAGTGACGTGGGAGGGAGAGAAAAGTCTTTGACACACCCAAAAACAAATGTTTGTTTGCTGAGGGTCCTCACAGCAGAGGAAAGTCAGCATGAAATTAGTGTGTGTAGATGACTCTTCCAACATAAGTGTAGCTTCCAAAGAAGCTAGATTAAGATGTTTTCCTTACTAGATGAAGTTCCTATCACATCAGGAAATAAATGCAGAACTTTACCTTTAAAACAATGCATCACTTAAATAATGTTCTTTCCCCTGGCTAGCCCTATTTCTAGAAGCTGAAGATTGGATGGTGGTTTGAAAAAAGCCAGTGTCTGATTGTCCCAATGGTCAGTGGTCAAAGATCTGGTAACCCTGAGCTGGTAACCCTCTGCTAATTGTCCCACACTTCTACTAAGTTATGTTCTGACAGCAGCTTGAGAAATATGTTTGTCTTGATTCATATAAACATAGGTATTTCAGAAAGGACACCTATAACGTTTATTTAAATATTCTGTGTGCCTTGTTTACAAACTTTTGATCCACAATCCTGTTTCACTTTTTCTAATCCTTAATAGAATTTTAACTGCCAGTGCAAGCCACTAGATGTCAGCAGTGGTAGAACCTCTTTGTGACATTTGATATCTCCAAGCCACAGAAAGCCTACCATAGTACAAACTTTAGCCTATGAAGTAGTAGGGAAATTTTATCTTCTCTACCTTGGATATCTTTTTTATTTCCACGAGTAGCTTAGATACATCTCCTGTCCTGTTTTAAATTGTGTTAAGTTTGACTTGGAATTGTGTAAGCTTAACTTTCAAATTGAATAGTCTATATTACAGTCTATAGAAAACTACATTCAGTACCATGCACTTTGTTTTTAAGTGCTTTCACAGGCTTTAAAATGTCATTTGTTGTTACAGATAATGCAGTAGACTTCTGTACATGATATTGGTGTAAGTTAATTGTGTAATTAAATTTAAAAAAATCATAGTTGATTTTATTTCAGTATGACTGGTACTGAAACTGATCAACTCTTCCTATGGCTGAATAATGGCACCCTTTGTGAATTCACTGCTGTTTTACAACTTGTGAAATTGATTTTAAAAGGAAATTAAGCGATTTTGCTAAAAACTGGATCTACTTATTAGTAAGGCAAAAGATATATAGCTGGAACACCCTTGTTTTATAAGTGAGAAAAAAAGTGTTTGCTTCAGGAAATTCAAGCAGAAGCAAAAATGAACAGGTTGTGCTAAGTGACAGAAACATGCATGCTACCCACATGCTTTAGTAGAGTGAAGATTAATAGTTTTTGAAAAATTGGAACACTGAGCCAAAAAAGATGGTCTTCACTGTGATTCATAGTGAGTTGTAAGTAATTTCAAGTTTGTAATGTGAGGTGTTTCAGTAGTTCATAATTGTTTTCTTTTTGTTTGTTTTATAGTAATATTTTTAACATGTACTGCTTTCATGTATTTTTTCTGTTTAATTTCTTTGTGTCACTAAAGGGATATTTGTTGGTCACATCAGAATTATTTTATTATAAGTCACAGTAGAAGCCGGTTCATTTATTAAAAATGTTTGTGTATATAGAGAGTAACCCTGTGTATTGTAAGTGCAGAGTATGAAAGATTTTATTCAAATCAGTTATGAGGACACAGTTTTTTTTTTCATTTTAATGGTTCATTCTTGCTATAAGTAATTGAGTAACAAGTAACAGATTATTGTAAACTGGGAGCCTTTAATCATTTTTGGCATATATTAGAATCATTGGGATTAATGCAGTCAAACCTGTTAGATGGAAGTACCTTGTCCTGTTCTGAGCTACTGATTAGTCTTATTGTAATATATTATGTCAAAAACTAGATTGTCCTATTTAGTCAGATATTTGACAGTTAATGATACAGTACTTGAAATTAATCTACTTATGTAAAAATACATTTGTATACAACTATATACAAATATATATTATGTAGGTAGAATCAGATGTATAACATTAAAATGGCACGTTCCATTCGATGTTTCTTTGCAGAATACACTTATGTGGTATATTGGTCTATTTGTCCCCCACACAATCACACTGTAGCAGTTAGTGAACTCTGGTGTCCTTTGAAGGAAAATGTCAAGGATGGAGAAAAAGTCACTGTCAGATTATGTGGCTTCATAATTACTTTTTGTTGAAATATCAGTGTTTGCCCATTACAAAAGCAGAACCAACAACTTTTGTTTAGTTTTTTTTATTTTTAACTCATTTTAACCTTTGATATTTTAAGTTTGTTTTCCAATTACTTGGAAAAACTGTCAAATTTGGAGCTGTATACTTGAATACTTTTCAGTATCAGTAATATCTGAGTGTATGTTGTGCCCCATGCAAACTGATCTAAATCTGAATACATCTGATTGAGAACATGTCTATATATTTTGAGTTTCTTTATGAAGTGATTAAATATAGTCATTTTATGTACTAGAAATGTAGCACCATAATTCTATTTATCTGAAAACATGCACCAAACCAAATTTCTTATTAAGGTTTTTTCCCATTCTTTTGTTTTTTAGTAAAAACAGCTGATTAAAATGTTTGTCTGGGTTTCTCACAGATGGAATAGTAGCAGGTCAATTACAGTCTTATCTTACATCTAATGAGCTGTTTGAACATTTTCAGTTGGAATTTAGGTAGAGACACAGCACTAAAACCAAAGCTGTCAGCAGATCATTACTTCCCCAAGGGTTGACTTTGGGTAATTTAATAATTTTCTCGTTCTGGATTGAAGTACACGTTTTGATACTGTCGAGTACAGCATCCTTCTGGATGGTAATTCAAGGACAAATGGGACTTGTCTTTATTTGTTTGGTTCATGTTTGGATACCAGAACCAAGTTAATCAAACTTGGCTGTCTAAAACTTCGTCACACTTAGGTGTTCCCCAGGTTTCAGTGCTTGGTTCATGTTTTATTATTGAGACAACATGTTGCGTCTTGCTCAGATTACCTGCATTTTTGTTTGTGTCCAGAATTCTACATCTTGTATGGTAAAAAATATAAGGTGTATTATGCATCATCCCAACGTCCATCCACTGTAGCAATGGCTCCCTGTAACTTCCCTGAAATGTCCCTTCTGTTCACATGCCTGGAGCTAGACCATTTAGTGCCATATAGTCTTAAGGACTTGTTGGATGAGTAAAGTTAAATTCTTAGTCTCCTGGCTCTATAGAGTGAGTAGAAGTTACACTTCTTGTGCAGCACAATATCTGTGGGTGCAACGCAGTGTTTAGTATAGACTTACTTTCATTTCTGTTCATCAAAGACTCTATGACTTCAAAAATTTAAAACAAATTTAAGGGCCCATCTTTTCATTATAGCTTTTAATGAATAATTTATTCTTTTTACTGGTTAATTATAATTATATAAAGATATCCTTCGTGTTCCAATCATATAAATATAAATGTATAAATGTCTGACTACTACATACAATTGACATATTCTGGACCCTTTTCAGTTAAAGAAAGTGAATGTGTATGTAACAGAAAAGAAATATACTCCAAAGTCAGCATCGTCCTCCTGTGACAGAACAACACAGTGTATTTTATATTTTTTACAATACAGTAGAAATATTTGAAGTGAAAATTGACTATGCCACTTCACCACCACAGCACAGTATGCAGTGAGTTACCCTTGCAAAGAGATTATATAAATCTGTTACATCTAATATGAAGATGGTTATTATAAACTGGTATGAAAAAGGTGAACGTGTTATGTTGAGAAGTGCTCATAAAATCATTACCTTGGCAAATCAGTATCAGCTGTGTAAGATGAAAACGGGTATTGCACTGTATAAACTGCTCCTTTTTTCTTAACTTTACAGGAAGTTTGGGGAGCGACCTCAGCCACAACGCCTAACAAGGTAATGGAATTTCTAATCATTCATGTGTAATAGTTTGTCTGACTTGTGATTCAGGGTCACTAGACATAGAGTAGTTGTAGTTTACCATGATAAATAGCTGCCGCTTTTAAGTAATATCTGAAATACCTGAGGATTTTCAGCATCCCAGGACTCATTAAGTTATTTTTGTAAATTATTGCTCATTTAAAAGCTCTTTCTTTTAAAAGGGCTCTGGGTAATTTTAAAATAACCCAATAAGAAATTCACATTAAGTGATATGCATCTAGGTCACATTACTTCATATTAGAAAATTATAATTCATTCAAAATATAAACATTTTGCATAGCAATAGTAATAAATTATTTAAAAAATAGATGGAAAAAAGTCTGAACAAATTGTTTGTCACTGAGTTTTGCTAATGTAAATGGGAAACAAATGTCTGCAAAGTCCTATTTTCAGGTCTGGACAGTATTTAGTTTGTGAGATTATTTCTTCTACAACTGTTGGAACTCCTAAGGTCGTGGTTAATCCTTTAAGCAAATTATGCTTATGGTTTTAATTACATGATGTTTTCGCAGGCAGATTTCAAAAACCTCTCAAGCTATCCTACTGTGACTTACATAATGCATATTTGTATATACATGCATAATGCATGCTTTTAGATTTTTTTCTTTCATGTTCTAAGTATTACATTGTAGGATTAAGTTTCTACACGTTTTTTTCTAAAAAGGACAAATAATTTATTTGACACCAATGCAGAATAATTGTGTTCAACCAAAATAAACAAGTATCCAGAAGGAGAAGTAGAAAAAGTAAAGCACTTCTTTATTCCTTTCCACTGACATTGCTCAAACATACCAAGCATTAATGGATATTTCTGTTTGCAACATAAGACATCAGAAAGCGTTTGCATAGACATTGTTATTAGTCTCTGTTCAATGACTCATTTTAAATGATGTTATTCAAAAGTTGTGTTGCCATTTTAATATTTTAATCCTTCCTATCTCAAATACTTGAGATTTCTGTCTGTATAATAAAAATGAAAGCTTTTATATACTATTTTACACAAAGTCTGAGAAAAAAACACGATGGTTAACTTCTTGGAAATCTTCTCTAGTGTTTATGCATACTAATGTATGTGTTGACTGTTGTGCTATCCCAAGGATGCATCAGCAACCGTATCGCCCTGCAACTCACAACTGGCAACCCACTGAACCTAAGCAGGTGTGAGCCTGGTCAGTACCTGGATAGGAGACCTCCTGGGAAAAACTAAGGTTACTGCTGGAAGAGGCTGGATAGGAGACCTCCTGGGAAAAACTAAGGTTACTGCTGGAAGAGGTGTTAGTGGGACCAGCAGGGGGCGCTCACCCTATGGTCCATGTGGGTCCTAATGCCCCAGTATAATGACGGGGACATTATACTGTATACAGGTGCCGTCCTTCGGATGAGACGTAAAATCAAGATCCTGACTCTCTGTGGTCATTAAAAATCTCAGAGCGTTTCTTGAAAAGATTAGGGGTGATTTGATTTGAGAGGATTTGAGATCAAACCCTATCAACCTGTATAATTTTAGAAGAGAAAATATTTCTTCAAACTGTCTCCTAGCTCATATAGTTCTGTTTTTGATATAAGTGACTGGGAAAGGACTTATGCAGTACCTTGCAAAAGTATTCAGACCTTTTCACAGTTTTCAAATTGTTGCTTTAAAGGTTGCATTCATAACACTTTAAAATAGCTGTTGATATTTGTTGTACATACAACCTACTCCACATTTTTAAATAGAATGAATAGATCATGTGTAAGAAAAGTGGCAAACCACAAATGCATTCAGACTTTTAGCTGTAGAAAACTTAAATTAATTTCAGTGCACAGCATTACCTTAATGAGCCACACAATTAGTTGAGTGGCCTCTGTGTGCAGTATAGAGGTTTCTAGGTTTATAGATGAATTCATTAAGGGTATAGAATTTGTTTTACAAGTTTCGAATTAAGAAAAAAACATTAACTTTGTGAAAGTACTATAAGTCGCCATGATGTCGCAAAACTCTGGTCTCACCAGGGATGAGAGATAGAGTTCCCATGAATTGCGACTAGATGTGACCCTTCCTGCTCACTAGTAACTGTGATGATTAATGTATGCGATATACGAGTGAATAAATACAGGTTGTACAGCAGACATTTCACCGTAGAAATGTTCCAGCGTGATCTGCATGCAGTGTTCACAAGTAGTATTTGTTGGTATTTGTATTTGTTGGCAAAATGAAGTCGAGAGTAAGATAAGATCACTTTATTAGCCCTATACAATTTCTTGCATTAGGAATTTGTCTTTTCAAAGTAATAAGGCTGCAACACATCACTGGAAGTTAGTTGCCTTATTCAAACGCAGAATACAGTGCTGCGCATACCTGGAAATTTGGACATTTTGCAACTTACAATGAACTTTTATTGTGGTTTGAAGTGCACTCATCAATGCTGATTCTTTCTAACCCCAAAATATAAATTTAACATTGCAGTTCCCCTTTAATCTGTGGTATGAATACCTCTGGAGGGCTCTGTATATGAATATGACCTAACGTGATCCTTGAAGATTTCCAAAATATGAAGGTGGTCTATTGTAGAGTGTGGGAGTGTAGTAGAAAACTAGTAAAAACACTAGCAGTATCTTTTCAAATTTTACAACTCTGTTTTCTGTGGTATATGTACATGCAGTTTAGAAATGAACATCTTATTTACTTTTAGATGAAAATTGTATTTTGGAATCTCTGCCCATTTTCTGTTTATTAACTTGACACTTTAACAGTGTGCTGAGATAACTTCAGACCAATTTCAATATGAAATCAAGTACTTTTCATGCACTTCCATACTCTGTAACATTCTAAAATACATGCATAACACCCTGCTAGCTGCTTTGTCAGTCTTACAGAGATAGCACTTTAGTATGAATAGTTATGAATTGGTTACAATCCTGTAAGTGAAGAGTAAGTCTTCGATTTCTGCCTGGTTATTTATAAAGTTTGCTTTATAAAAGGTGATGATAATGCATCGCTACTCGGATGCTACCTTAATCTGTAGTTAAAATCTCTTCCTGAGTTTTGTGGCACAGGATCATTCAGTTTTGTCATTGGCAGGTGTTGTCATATCAAGCAAAAGCTCCAAAATATAAGGTTTTGATCATTTTGCATGTTATTCAGCACCACTGATCTTCTGGACAACATTCCAAAATCTCAGACTACAAAGGGGCAGCTATGAAATTTCTAGCATAGCTGGATTCTCCTGTTGTGCCTATGAATACATAATTCATTTAATTGTGGTCCGCAGAACTATAGTTTGGGTAGGTTGTACGTCTCACTAAGTTGTATGACACAGAGTATGTACTTTTTTGCAAAAGACTTGATAAGATTTACAAAAATCTTGATATATTACATCTGTTGCTTTACCACAAAACTAAGCAAATTTTATTTCTAAACCTGCATTCAGAAGAATGCTAATTGTATATATGCCATTTTACTGGAAATACTGGATTTACAGAATGAAGGTGATTGGGTTGGGGGTACTGTGGCTCTGGATGCTCGCTCACTCACTTTCCTGTTCGGTAATCAGTCTTTTTCCCATGCCTCCCCAAAAAATAAACTTTTAATTTTACATTTGCATCATTGCCTACAATAAAGAAATCGCTTTAACTTTGCAAAGGTATGATTTGGATGCAGGTGAAGAAGCAAGCAAACTCATCAGAATACTGCATCAAATTCACCTCTTTGTATGGCTAAAGCGTTCCCTTGCAGGAATTATTTTATTTTAACATTTTGTGATTTACTTGTTCCTCTGTTTTTTGACCCAAGTCTCTCATTTTCAACTGAATCACTGTTCTCCGATTCTTGTATGAAATCTATTATTGTGCTTGCGCAACCATATGCAGCAGGCTATGTATTTGTTAGCAAAGGAAACGCACAAACCTGAGGAATATGTGAAAGGGAGTCCACTTTTGCCTCCACCATGATGGTTAATAGGACGTTGGCACCCTTTATTTCCAGAGTGGGTTGGCTACTAAATTGCTGTGTGCAGCATAGAGCAATAAGGCATTCTGGAGATAATAGAGAAAAATATTAATGGAAATTCATTAATCACCATAAACCTATGCATCCATCTGTTAGTTTACATTCTGGAGTGGATGAGAAGTTGTTGTTCTTCCATCTGATACATACATCATTTCAAAAATATTTCAAATGTTTTTATTCATTTTTAAAAGCACGAACTACTGAAGGATGCATTTATCTTCTAGAATGATTAGAATTCTAGAATACCTAGACAGATTTTTCTCCACTAAGTTATATTATGAAGAAAACATTTAGTAAATGCTTATTATTAAATTAGGCACCAGCAATGTCACCCTGCAAATCACACCTGACAACCCACTGTAGCTAAGCAGGTGTTAGCCTGGCCAGTACCTAGATGGGAGGACAAAGGTTGCTGCTGGAAGAGGTGTTAATAGGGCCAGAAAGGGGGCGCTCACGAGTCTGTATGGGTTATAATGCCCCAGTATAGTGATGGGTCTTCTTGATAAGACATAATACTGAGGTCCTGACTCTCTCTGGTCATTAACAATCCCAGGGCATTTCTCAAAAAGAGTAGGGTTGTTACCCCGGTGTCCTGGCCAAATTTCCTATTGCCCTTTATTAATCATGACCTCTTTATAATCCCAATGTATGAACTGGCTTCATTACTCTGTTCTCCTCTCCACTGATAGCTGATGTGTGGTGAGAATACTGGTACACTTTGACTGCTCTAGGGGGCTGCACATTGGTGGTTGCGCAAAGGAGTCAAAATTACCTGTAAAGTGCTATGAGTGGAGTGTCCCGAGAAGCACTATATATAAGCACTATAAGTGTAAGGAGTTAATAAAAGCTAGTACCATAGTTGCTAGGAGTTGTTTTTTTTTAATTGTAGTGTGACTTTTGATTTCCTGATTTGATTTTTTTTGTACATACATATGTTAAGACCTGTTATATTAGTAAGTGGTTAAATGCTCAAATGAAACATCTAAATGTTAAAAATAACTAGTTCTTTGAAATTTCCTTGATTTAGGTCTTATATCTGACACAAATCCTACAAAACACACAAGACAGCAACTTGATCAGCAAATCCGATAATACTTCATTTTTTTCAGATTTCAGTCATCAGATATTTCAGCCACCTACTGTGGCTGCCTACATTGTTTATGATTAAATACTTTTGTGTAGATTCCTGAACTAGTGGTATCTAATGACTATGTGTGGGTTATAGTCTTTTATGCAATTTTATATTATTTTTAAAGTAATGATTACTTCTACTGTTTGTATGTTTGTTAAATTTCTGTGAACCTAGAACATATCACTTGGCTACAAAACAAATTTCTGAGAAATCAGACAATGTATTATCGTAGCTTATCGTATAATATTTTCAATGACTGGTTAGAAATGGCAAGTGCAGACTGTCAAGGCCGGAAGGGTGCTTTTGGGGTTAGTGAATGCTCACAGTTTGTTGAATTTGGCCAAAAACATTAGCATTCTGCATGAGGATCTCCTTCTAATTTCCTCTGAAAGGTATGAAGGAAGGCAGTGGCAGATCATAAAATATGCACAGTGGTTTTGTGCCACAAATTGCAGGTTATAAAGAACAGGTAAGTTTCACATGCAGATGAATAGCTTGACAGTGAACAAAAGGGAAAAGACAACTGTTGGCAATTCGTAGCAAGCATTCAAAGGCCACTGTACAAATTTTGTGTCTTCAGAAAGAATGCATGTAACAGCCCTAGTCAATCAACATTTCAACTGGCATTTCAGACTTACTGTAAGTGTCCATCAAATAGTCAGGCAATAACTCTTCAGCATGGGCTTCAATGGAAGAGTTTCAACAAGGAACATTGCATAAATGAAGCAGCAGACACAGGTGCTGATCATATACTTGTTTTCTCAGATAAAAGTAGCCTTAGATTAATTTGCAAAAAAACATTGTGTGTGGATTCTTAAGTATATATGTACTGCGATTGAAAATGGTAGTATTTCTGACCTTATGTTGATTGCCCGTACCATTCCTGTGGTTTGTGATCTTGACCAAATACATAAGAATTCTATGGAAAGCTCATCTGCTCCTTTACACTAGTGGGCCAGCTGTCATTGGAAGACATTATTTGTATGTAACTCAGAGCATTGTCTCCCATGCCTGGGCCAATCATCTGATGTTAACCTTCTTTAGCACATGAGGTCCATTCCTAATCATACAGAACATCTAGACTGACTCTTATCTTAGGGTTGCCTTTATCCAAACTGTGAGATGAATAGGCTACAATATCAAAGGCTGCTATTTATTTACTCCTTACTTCTGACCTGTCATTGTATTTGTAGGTAGACCAAGGATATTGTAAACAAAGACTTTTTTAAAAAGCCAGTGTTTTCTAATGTGATTTAAGTGTTTTTCATGATACTGATACTGTTTACCATAAATGTCCAATTATACTTGCCCACAACCATGTGCATTTTCACACATCTGTTTCTCTTTGCCTTTTTATTTTGTTTTGTGTTTTGCCATGCAACTGCGAAGGTGTTTGAAATGAATGGCTAGTCTTTTGTGATTTTTTTCAGTCGCCTCATGTTAGATTTAAGCTGTTGAAACGAAAGCCTTTTCAGCTGCTGGTAATTATGTAAAATGAGTAGCGTGACCCCGCTCATGCACAGGAGCTGTGGGGGGTCCTGCAATACCAAGGCCTTATTGCTGAAGACGCTTAAACAGATATATTTGGCAGATGCGTCTGATTTGTCTCCATCTGCATGAGTTTATTTTGAATAATTATCTTTCCACTCCTTCGTGTGTTCAGTTTTATGAGGTTCAATGTTTCATGATCAGACTGTCCTTAGTATGGTTACCTTTTCATGCACAAATCAAAAGATTTTTGGCAAAAAACAGCAACAACACAGGGTTAAACCATTCTAATGTAAAGATTTGTGCATTTCAGTATTTGTTTTCTAATTAGTTTTACTCACGTGGAATAATGTTTTCATCCCTGCTTTCTGAATGGTTTGTTCATTTAAGTTTCATTATTGTTTTTTTTTTCCATGTCAGCCTGCCATCCAGGTGGCAGTCAAGTCCACAAATAATCAACTGAAGGATTCAGTTAAATTGAAGTCTGGTGGTGCAGAAAATTTGAATTTAATTGTCAATATGGTGATTTGTGTTGGGTAGGCTTATGCAGCGTCTTTACCAGGCAGTGGGTTTTTCACTGGTACCCTTTTTAAGGGTTCCAATCTCTCCTAATACAAGAGGTGCTGTTCTTATTCCACATAATCCCGATTTCAAATTCTTTGTATATACTTTTTTTCTTCTTGGAGAATTAGATTAGCATCATCTGCAAGAGCGAAGTTGATGTTACAATCAGTTTTGAATTGGAATGGCCACATGATGTACAGTCGTGTTTATGACTTTATGACTTTTATGACTTATACCTGGGGTATGTTCATCTCTTAAATACTTGGAACCCCAATCAACCAGTATAAATAGTTGGCTGCTTTAAGTATTTTATTTTCTGGCTGACACATGTATCCAACGTAACTTGCATTTGTATCTAGTGATTCACTTGGCATTTTACTTCAAAAATCATGCTCAAGTATCATGCTTAAGGGTAAAATAGCAGTGTCCCCACCCAGATTTTTAAGTCAAAATTTTGTAGTTATGATTAAAGCCGCTGTTCTATACTGCTTCCTGTGCCACATAGATAATGATGAAAGTTTTTATATATTTTTAAAATCTAATATCAAGATATGTTTATTGTGGTTGGATTTGTCTGTGCATTTAAACTTTTGGGGGATTTCATTTTCTGTCAGACAAATGCATTACAAGGTATTCTTTGTATCTAGGTTTGGGGCATCATTTATTTGTACTGAATCTTGAAGGTGATTTCCCAAAGGGAAAAAATTATCAGGATATGTTTGAATCATCCTCACATTTGAGTTCCTCTTCTTTTTCTTTAAAATTGCCTCTGTGTCACTTTTTGGTTACACCACTGGACATTTATCTTATTTCTCTTAATCCCACTTGTTATTTACCTGTGCAAAGGTTTAAATGATACAGTACACTGTACTGTGTTTTGGGTTGTTTTGAAGTCTGAACCATACCGCCTTTTCTTCTTGCACTGCTTTTAGGTGATGCAGAATCTGGTACAATTGGCCTCTGTGCACACCATTCTTGTATTTGTAGGGCAAAAGTACTGCACTCCACTGCTAATTGTATTGTCTGTATCGTAATCTCTGCTTGATTATACTAAAAATCAGTTACTAAAATAAGCAGGGATGTCAGTGTTCAAATATGAAATGGAATAAAACATGACATGTCTCACGTGCATTCTCATTTTAAAAAGGTTGTGATTATTTTAAAAGCACTTTGTAGTATCATTTTGTGGCTGGGAGTCAGGCTTTCCTTGAACTACTAGTTTGTCATTCAAAAGGTATTTCATGTTATTACAGTATCTGTCTTTTTCAGTGCTTCTGAACCACAGATTTGTTACTGTATAATGCTATGAAATTGTGGAACGTGATTCAAATTCTGTGTTCTGAAGGGGTCTGTAATCCTGGTTATAGAGAGCCCCAGTTGGCAAAATACATAGGTGACCACTAACCTAACATCAGTTTCTAAAGATGTGGAACAATTTAATCAGTAAAATGAATTTTGAAATTGTGATTTTGAGATCATTTGGAACTAAATTCAGAACACACTGCAGCTTTTAAGGACCAGAGTTCCTTATGCTGAATATACTACTTATTTGTTCAATAACTTCAAAGTGTTCCTAATCTTTAACAAAAAAGGTGATTCTGGGAGACCTTTAGCTTACAGGTCTAAAGCATACAGCAAAGATATAACGATGAGAGTTGGTCAGTAATAGGGTGTAAGGAACAATGTTTTATCAAGACCTTGAATATTTCAGTGCATCAGATATTAGATAGTACATTCTGTTTAACAATCATAAGGTTTATCCTGTGTATTAATGTTGAAAACTGTGACCAGTGCAGTCTTACCGCATTAGAAAACATGAACCAGTAAAACAAGATCTTATGAATAAGTGAAACAGACATGTAAATCGGAGTATTACTTTTGCCCTTATGTGCAATGAGAACGTGTTAGAGACAAAAGCCTAATTTTGTATTCTGAGGATAGAATTAGATTTTTTTCCATATATTTGCTACACATTCTGCTATACCTAGAAAGAATAGATGTACATATAGAGTAGAGACAGTTCTTCTTTTATATTTATGTATGTAATCCTGTGTTTCATTTGTTTTAGAGAAGCAATGCGGAATTACCTAAAGGAACGAGGTGATCAAACAGTACTAATTCTACATGCAAAAGTTGCACAAAAATCCTATGGAAATGAAAAAAGGTAAGTCAGGCAATTTCTCACTTTATCTTCTTATTTTCTTTTCCCTGTTTCCAAAAGATCGAAACATTTTTCCAGCGCTGCAAATATGTGCTATAATCCTTTGTTTTTATAGTCATTTTTATTATTCACTTAGCTAATTCTCACCAACTCATGCTAGTTGTCTAAGGTTTCCAGCATATTAAAGACCCCAAAATGTTATTTATTTATATTTTAATGCATTATTACAATAATATATTTTTTAATTTAGATTTTGCAAGTTAACTTTTAGACATCTGTTCATTACACATGGTTATTAAAAATAATTCAATATCATAATATGTAAATTGTCCTTAAGCTTTGGAAACCTCAGAATTAATGTTATATATGCTTCTCTCTGTTAAGTCATGAAGCATGTTAGGCAAAACTGAATTAACTTTTTAGGAGCAGGTTTTATTATTAAATAGTTTGTAGTGGATACGGGGATCCGATTTTTGTATCAGAAGCTGTGTGCAAAAAAACTGTTGGTGCATCTCAAACTTCAACTTGTTTTAGCCTGACAGAATTCCCAGTCTGATTTTTTTTTTACAACAACCACTTTTGATTCACTTTTTATTGTTGCTGTCTTCAGTAACAGTTGTTACATTATGTTCTGAAATACTAGCTTTTAAATATATGTTTTTCATTCTCTTTTAAATTTACATGAAAATGTGGATGCTTATAATGGTCAGAAAAATTTAAATCTTCCTGTATTTTATTCTACATTACAAGGAGACATAATAACAGCATTCCATGTAAATAACCAGATTACTAAAATCTTATAATGTATATAAAATACATGTTTGAAGTTTTTACAAGTAAAAGTAGAAATGTTGTCTTGTAATCAATTTGTTGTTTCTTCAGTTCACTCACAAAACCTCTTAGAAATGAATTTCTTTTTACACTGTTAGGTTGTTTCCAGGTAATATTTAAACAAGACCAATTGTGCTGCAGTAATGAAAGTAATGCTTTTTTTATTTTGATTGTAATTAAAGTTTTTATTCAGGTAATTTCCAGCAGTTTTCATCTATGGATTTTAAGACAATTTCTGTGTTATATGAACATTTTAAGCAATTACTTTGAGACAACTGCTCCATCTTCAATTAAATGATTACTCTAAAGTCATTGGATTCTAAAAAGGGAATTGTCTATTTTGTACATAATATGTGTTTTCATGTTAAATTAAAATCATCTTAAACGGCTACTGGTGCTATCTGTGGAGCATATGTTCAGTAGCCCTTCGTCACAAGCAGTGAAACTGTCGATAAACAGGATCTGTGGAATAGCATGTCAATTTCTCATGCTTAATGAAATAGGAACAATACCTGGATTTGTTTTTTTTAAATCTTGAAACATCAATTTCTTAAGGGCCCATTGAGCAGCTTTTTTTTCTTCTTTTTTTATGTTACTGTGTGCAATTTGTAATTGTAACAAGATACAAGATAGAATCATTTTATTTTGTGGTTTACAACTTATATCTAAGATAACAGTGGACTGAAATATTTAAATAAATGGTACACTTGGAATTTTCTGAATATACTAAGAGTGATTTTCATATGCATGCAGTCAGTATATTTCCCTTTAGTTTACTAGAGCTTGAACCCGTTTTGATTAAAGTACCCAGCATGTAGTTTTAAAATCCCTTACCCAAGCTTATTGCTTAATGGCCTTAAACTGCTTCTCCTTTTTTTTTCCTGTCTGTTGTCTATTTTTAGAATATGAAAGTAGACAGCTAGTCAGAGATGTAGTGTTATGAGCTGCTACTGTTTCCTCATAAGTATAAAAGTTTCAGTACTTTTACCAGTAAATAACTAATCAAGGTTTGTGGAGTCTGTGTTAAAGAGATGCCAATTTGAGTTTTGTAACTTGAGGGCAAAGTTGAAAGAAGTACTTATATTTGTACAGCTGGGCATGTGTGGGGAAAGTGTACACAATGAAATGTCAATCTTTACAAACGATAGTAATTCTGTTAGGAGCAAGCTAATTGCTATCATAGTGGGAAATAGTAAGGAATATAATAAATGATAGAAAATTAGTTTTACAAGAAAAACTGTTTTGTAAATCTGAAGATACAAGGTCAAGATGGCAAACATGTAACACATTCCTAAAAAAATAGTGTCTAAATAAGAAAATCCAGAAAGTTAGGAGAGGTATTGTGTCGGAACATATCTAATGAGCATCAAGATTGCATTTACGAAGACTTACAGTTTAACAAGTCAAAAACACATGCTGTACAACCTACCAGTTTTGAGTCCAATCAAAGGTTGCTTGTGGCAGAGGTCTGTGAAAAATTTGCCTTAACTCCAACCATTTATCCCAAACTTAAAGCCAGAAGAATGAGAAACCAACAAAAACATTTCTCAGTGCAGTGTTTTTGCAGTTTCTTTTGTATGTAATTAGCCTTTTTGACAAATTTCATGTACAGCTGTCATTTTAAGCTTTATTGCATTGCACGTTCCTTTTTTTTCTGTGGCTTTTTGCAGGATGAATTTTTGTTTTCAGATATTTAAATATCTTATTGTTACTTTGGAAATCGATTTCCTAAATGTGTCTAGTCTGCCACCTGCTGGTGTGATTTAAAATAGCCATAGGAATCGTTTGAGAGGAGAACTATTTCATACTATGAGCAGCCGAGGAACAAATAGAGGATAATTTCACTATGTGAAGAACTACTGCTTATCAATAACCATATGTATGTTGCAGATTTTTAAAACGGTATGCGCTTAAGTAGAAAAGCACACCAGAAGAAACATTTCTGATCAACACTTGTATTTTTAATTGTATTTTTTATGCTGATAAATGGCTGCATTTGGGTGAAGTTTTTTGTTCCTGCTTGTGCTATGTTAAAAGATTTGTTTTTATAGGTTTTTCTGTCCTCCACCGTGTGTTTACTTAATGGGAAGTGGGTGGAAGAAAAAGAAAGAACAAATGGAACGAGATGGCTGCTCTGAACAGGAATCCCAGCCATGTGCGTTTATTGGGATTGGAAACAGTGACCAAGAAATGCAGCAGTTAAATTTGGAAGGAAAGGTAGGAACAGAGCCATCCATGTTAATATGCTTTAATGAACCACACATGCACAGGATGACCAGGTGAACACATTCTACCATCTTGATCACCACGTGGTGTGTTTTTTCTTTTCCGTATAGTCCTCTTCGATTTTAGTGCAGTGGGAAACCTTTCCATCAAGCTTTGTAAGCAAACAAAATTGAGTTGTTTGTGTTGCCCTTCTAGACAGGCCTTTGAATGCCTTTGGAAACCTTGTACTGTGAGAAAGTGTCTAGTATTTCATGGGAATTAGGGATCCTCTATCCAAGGGTGTGAGGAATTTCTGGTATAAAGGTTCTTCTGTTACCTTGATTATTGTTTGGTTCCTAGGGCCCAGTAGTGAATCAGATCAGATCACTTTATTGGCCATATACAATTTCTTGTATTAGGATTTTTTCTTTTGGCTCCAACTTGCTCTCCATGAGACACACAGACAGGGAGAGAAGCTTGGGGTCAGAGTGCCAGGTGAGCCATAATAAGGTACCCCTGGAGTAATTGGGGTTAAGGGCCTTTCTCAGGGGCTCAACAGAGTAGGATTCCTCTGTTGGCCGCGGGATATGAACCAGCAGTCTTCCAGCAACAGGTGCAGATCCTTAGCCACAGAGCCACTACATCACCGATCATCACCATATATGAAAGTTAGGTGGATCCTCGTTTGAATATTTTTGGATCTGATCCTTTGTTTTCTTCTGCTGGTGCAAGTCTTACAGGACATCTTGCAGAAACCCATAATGCTTCTGGATGATCATTAAAAACTGTAAAATGGAGGTCTTGTGCTCATATTGCATTCAACAGTATTTGAGTTTCACGTCTTGTACGAGGACCCAGCAAGGTGTCTGGTCCTTGAATTCACAAGATTGTGCTTGAACAAAGCTGAAAGCTTTACTGCTATTGACAGAGTACTTTCTGTTTTTTAGTTAATTTCTGTAACTTTACCACCTTATACCAAGATGACTAATAACTTTTAAGTTTTGTTCAGATATAACCATATTCTACGAGCAGGGATTTACCCTCATACATGTTTACACATGATGATGTCACTACAACTGTAAAAGGAACTGGGTCACCTAACAGTTTTGTTGACAATATGCACATAGTATTGACTTAAATTTACTTGTCTTATTTTAGGAAAATTAAAAAAATGATAAAATGATAAAAAGATAAAAACTTGAATTAAAAACGATATAAATCATTGAAATACAAAAAATGCATTATCATACATATGTGTATCAATTGGTAAACCACAGGACTGAAATGTAATTTAAACTGCCTTGGTTTATTTATCAGTATCACCTGTGTTAGGGACTGGTAAGACACTAATAATGTCTTGTTTCATAATTAGCATTTTAGTATTTTTAATTGGGAAACAGAAAACAAAGGTTAAAGGTAGGTTGTGTAACAAAAATGTGGAACACTTTTCTACTGTAATTGAAAAATAATTATAAGTATGTATAACAAAGTTCAAATTAAATCACAATAATACTATATTTACTGCTACTACCACTTCTTGATGCCTGGCACCTTTTAGTTCTGCAGAAAGTGACTGGGCTTTGGCAGACTTAAGTACCGAGTTCAGGAGTGCGTTGAAAGCTTGAGGTGCGCAATGCCTTAACTTATTTATGCTTATTACAGAAAGAGCTGTTCATAGACCTACAAACAGAATTTTTTAAACAAAAGGCTTAAGCCTGGGATGATTTGATCCTATGTATGTTTAAAGTGTTCCAACATCACCACTGGTAAAACTTAGCCTTCAAAACAGAATCACCTATCCGTTGCATACAAATCAAACATGTCGACTTTTCCTTCACTGAGGCAAGGAAGTAGACATTTTACTAATTTTGAACCACATGTCAATCTCTATTTTTTCTAATTTTTGCAAGATGCTTACTACTTTGCTAGTATCTTGTCAAGATCATAAAAAATTTGTTTTCTTGAGAATAATGGTAGCTGAGTGGTTCAGTCCCTGACATTGCTGCAACCTTTGGAAAAGGAATTTAGAGAAGTGTGTGGACAGACCTCACTTTATTTTCCTCCTGTTTTGGTGCAAAGATGCACCCTTGTCAAAGCCGTTTTTTTGGCATCATCAATGGGTGATTGCACAGAGGTAGATACCCACAAGGAGTTCTGTATGCCAGACCTTGTATTATGATAGCAAGGGCATCTTCTTTGTGGGATCTAATTTGACTGCCACACGGGCCTGATCCCACCTTTGGGCCATACGTTTGACACTCTTGCCTTATGTTAATCAACTCAGATGTCTGCCTGTCTATCCAGTTTACACCAAAATGTTCTTAATTCATTTTGTCTATTAACAAAATTTTAACATTGCTAGGATTGAAATCTTTGAGTGCGACAAATGGTCTTTGTAGTCTGCCACACATCAAAACCATGGCTGATATTAATCTCGGGGGCTTCCAGTAGAATACTGTTTACTTATAGAAAAACAGCCCCAGTGGAGATTTACCTTCAGAAACAAATTTTACTTGTGTAAAGGCTCAGTTAGATACATGTGACTTCTCTTCAACACTTTTGGTAGATGGGGAAAAAAGAAAACAATTTTTTCTGTGTTGAGTTGTGAACGTAACAATTTGTCATGAGTCAGAGTGCTGTCATTAATTGGAATGCCTAGTTCTATGAACTTATTGAGTTCCCCCAGCACGTTTACAGTAAGGCCTTGATGAGTGTCGCTCTGTATTTATTGTATTAATGTTTTGTGTAATGAATAGGGACATTAAAATACATCCTTGCATTTATTATCCAGTTAAAACTTGTTGCATAAAACAAAGTAGAAATAGCTTTAGGTGCAAAATATTTTTAAAATAACCTTAAACTACAGAGAAGATGAAAGTACAGTAGTCCATCTTAAGACTTTGTGAACTACAGTATAACAGCAACTGTAACAGCTGATATTAATGGCAACCAAAGGTCCTGAGGAGGTCTACATGATAGGTCACTGATTAGGAACCAGGTTTATATCTGTGTACAGCAAGAGGGCCTACTGCCACCTGCATGCATATCCACCTCGTTTAGTATTATCCTGAATCATCAAGAAGTGGAAGGGCTAATTCTGCCTCCTTTTTCTATCTTTGTGTACAATGCGTTGCAGAATTGCACTGAAAACAAGTTTTTGAAATTTGTAATGATATGTGTATTGTTTTGAAATGCTTCATGTTAATGGCTGACAGTAAATGTTTTAAAGTGCATTGTTGTAATTGCTTTTCTACTTTTCCACAGAATTATTGCACAGCCAAAACTTTGTACATATCTGACTCTGACAAGAGAAAGCACTTCATGTTGTCTGTGAAAATGTTTTACGGTAATAGTGATGACATCGGCGTATTCCTCAGTAAAAGGATTAAAGTCATCTCCAAACCTTCCAAAAAGAAACAGTCCTTGAAAAATGCTGACTGTAAGTCGTGATACACTTGATTAACAAAATTAATAAGGCTTCTGAAGACTACAATTAGATTTTTTCGAATGTACTTAGATTAATACAATATCTTCTGTTTAAAATTATATGCTTTATAATTTTTTCAGGAAGTTGAACATTTTATGGCTATATTGTAAACAAAGTGTTTAAGAATTGTGGTACATATCTATTTATAATGTGTGCAAGATTAAGGATCATAGTCATAGATTCCACTACCCTGGATTTCCTGCTAGAGGGTGCTACAATGTAAATATATGTGTTGTGTTTTTTCCATAAACACTAGCTGTAAGGCAGGCAGAACATTCTAGTTATTAAGGAAAAAGAAAAATGTTGCATTTTTAAAGGCAGTGTTAGAAAAACTTTTTTCAGAAATTATTGCCCATGATTACACTTTAATGAACATCATTATTTTTTTATAGACGAAAATAGACTTTCTTTTTTTAATGTGTTATCTGTATCTTTTTTTAAATGTTACAAAGGGCTACTGTCTCAATGCATTTTTATATAAGAAGCACTCTGTGTTTACAGATGCAAATAAAGAATTTAATTAGGGGTCATTCACATAAACATTAAGGTTTTTCTTCTTCAGTATGTATTGCATCAGGCACAAAGGTGGCACTCTTCAATCGACTTCGCTCTCAGACAGTGAGCACCAGGTATTTGCACGTTGAAGGAGGGAATTTCCATGCAAGTTCACAGCAGTGGGGAGCCTTCTACATACACCTGTGTGAGTGTTTTTAATTTTGATACAATGGAAAAACAGCACATTTTTTACTTTTTCTCTCTGTGACTGAAAAAATTATATGTTCATTTCTGTATCACTGTTTTTTAAATACAATAAGAATTTGTTTTCTTACTGAAAATTTATATAAACAAAGACTGCAAATTATATGGTTCAGTTTGTCTGATATGACTGGATTAGGATCCTTAAGATTGGATTCTATAAAAATGGAGCAAGCAAGCAAAATTTGATTTGGTTCTGTAGAGCCCTTATGTTTTCTTTTATTTAGACATTTCTGACTTGCCATTTGTAGGGACATACAGTTCCTGCACTGATGGTAAACGTATTTGATAAGTCTTGAGTATTTTTTCACAGACCGTGATGCTTTTCTATGAAGATTTTTTTTCTTCCACTATTTTAAATTTTGTCTTTTAAACCCAAACGGTATTTTATATGTTCACTACAATGTGAGTGACTTTATTTATTTGAGATTTTATTGAGTGCCTTTTTTGCTCCCATCTTTTCTGAAGTGGATGATGAGGAGTCAGAAGGTGAAGAATTCACAGTACGAGATGGCTATATTCATTATGGTCAGACCGTCAAGCTTGTGTGCTCAGTAACTGGCATGGCACTTCCCAGACTGGTATAGTATACTTTTTCCAATATTCATATTTTAGATTTTCAGTACGTTTGATTTATGCATCTTCTTTTTAAAAAAGGCGTCACAATTTATAAAAAAAATATGTGCCATCTATATTTCTGTCGTTTTGTTTGCCTGTATTGTTGTTTTAGCTTATAAATATCTTGATATTATGAAGTGACTTGGGAATAAAATTCTAATGATTATTTCAGATGTAGCAACACTTAAGGTGCATTTTTTCTCAGAAAGCTAAGAGTTATGAGATTGTAAACAGATTTTCATCTGATCAGCATATTTGCTTTTAATTCAGATTTTAGCCATGGATACAGAATTTATATTCTATATCATTTTTACAATATATTTAGCATTCACAAAACATGTTTATCTGGCTTGTGCATTCAAGGCAAAACTCTGTTTTTGAAGTCTACTATACTGTAAAGGTAGCAGATGGTGTATCTCTTTTAATAGTATAACGATGCATTTTTTCCATTAGCGAAATGATAGCAGTATGCAGCTTTTTCTTACCTAAAATTTAAATCTATGTTTGTCTGAAAAATGAATTGAAACATTTTATCTTTAAAATATCAAAATAAATGGAAGCGATCAATCACCTGTGTTTTACAGATAATCAAAAAATAAATCTGTTGTCAGGTTTTCCAGACATTGCCTGATTTAATTGACCCCAAATGCTGATGTAAGATGACATTTAATCTTTTAATGTATCAGTAATTAAATACTTTCCTGTGTGCCTTTGCAGATAATTCGGAAAGTGGATAAACAAACAGCATTGCTAGATGCGGATGACCCAGTATCACAGCTCCATAAGTGCGCTTTTTATTTGAAGGATACAGAAAGAATGTATCTGTGCCTTTCTCAGGAGAGGATAATCCAATTTCAAGTAAGGGTTCAAGTTGAGAGAATTCATTAATGTCTTTTGGAATCAAAAAGATGTTGAGGATTATTTTGAGAAAAACACTAAAAATGTTATTTACAGCCCTATACATTTTATTTCCTGTTTTTCAATTTGAAAAGTTCAGAGATTAAAATATCTGTATCTTTTTGGAGGCCATTTTTGTAACAGCAGTAATCATAATAAAGCTTAAATGCAATTTGTTCTCCTAAGGGAATAGTTTACCTTCTTGGGTCAACAAGAGGTCCTGCAGTAGTGTACGCATCATAACAAACAGGTGAACTTCCTTAACTAACATATGTAAAAGATTGGAGGAAGAGATCTTAAGGAAAGTGATTTTAACATCTGACAATGCCAGTCAATTTTCTTCTAAAAATCATTTGCTGTGAGTTATATATATATATATCAAAATATATCCTCCTTGTAGCCAATGTTATCTGGTTTCCATAGTGAAAATCTGTTGGTGAATGAGAAAATTTAATCTGAAGAATTAATTGCACACTGCATGAAATAAACCCTGTATCTGCAATAGAAAATCAACTGATTGCATTAGTGTTTCTTATTCTAGGCCACTCCATGCCCAAAAGAACCAAACAAAGAAATGATCAATGATGGAGCTTCATGGACAATCATCAGCACAGACAAGGCAGAATATACCTTCTACGAGGGGATGGGCCCTGTCCATGCACCAGTTACTCCAGTGCCTGTGGTAGAAAGCTTACAGGTAAAAAATGCTAAAAATATTTTAATAGCATTTAATTAACAGTATTATTAAATTAAAAATGTATCTTTGTAAAAAGTTCAACATCCTCTTCTGATCGGAAAAACTAAAAACATTTTCATCTTAAGTGCTATGAAAATTAGTATATAAAATACATGTGAAGCCAGATACATGAGCTGTTCCTCCATGAGATGCGCACAGGTGGTGTTTTTGAGCCTGCGTATAAAAGGGCAGTGTGGTTATCCTATTCTTTTTTTCTCAAAATAACACCACATTAGACAGAGAAATGGTGATAGGGAACTTACTCAAGGCTACAGCAATTCTCCCCTAATCTGAAAATTCAAGAAATATTTTAATATTTGGTGCTTGTTTGTGTGGCTCCTTGACTGTATACTGCACCTTACATTTTCTTTTCACATCACTGCACGGTGCACTTTAGTAATACATATTAAACTTTTAAAGGAATTATTTAATGTTAATTATCTTGTGCTCAGTTGAAAATGTGGTTTAGATTCTTTATAAAGTTATTTTAATTTATTTTTATTTTTATGTTATGCAGCTAAATGGTGGTGGGGATGTGGCAATGCTGGAACTTACTGGACAGAATTTCACCCCAAATCTTCGCGTTTGGTTTGGAGATGTAGAAGCTGAAACTATGTACAGGTAAAAAGATGAACTACTAGCTTAAAACATTTTTTTTTCAAATGAAAAATATCCCTTTTGATTTGATCTTTATTTTCACACATTATTATCCATAGTGTATTGTAGGCTTGTGAATTCTGCCTGGATTCCTTTTTTTGTGTGTTGTTCTAAGATTTTTACAGAAAAGGAAAAAGAAAATGGCTTTTGTTTTCCAAAACTGCTTCCTTGGACTCTAGTTCTCTTAGTTTACATTGTATGTTAAGTATATCCACACTGAATTCTGAGACGCAAGTCAAATCGTCAAATGTCACTGCTCACCAGAAACAATTCAAAACACTAAATAAACATATAGCCCTGCATGCATTTTTATTTAAAGTGGAGCTGCAACACTATTTTTATATTTTGAGGTAAGAAAGAATCAGCATTGATGAGTGCAATTCAAACCACAATGAAAGTAAAATGTGCACAGTGATGTAAAACCACCAATTCACATTGCATAATAGACCACATCTCTAGGCATGCGCAGCACCATATTGCTGTCATTGTCTGCTGTTCAGAACAGGGAAACAAAACTTCTGGTGATGTGAACCGGCCCACTGTTACACTGTAAAGAAGCAGGCCTTTGAATACATCTCTTTTAAAATATTGCTCTTTGTTGTAAAACTATACTAAACACACATCTTAACTTAGGTATTAAACATAATTATGATAAAAAATTATCACTTAAATCGTGAAGATGGGAAAAAAAATCATCAGTGACTATTGAGCAGGAAGGGCCAATTTAATCACCATTCTCGCAAATTCTTGCTCTTGTCGGCAGTTTGCAACAGGGTGGTGACCATACAGTACTTTCACAAAGTTCACAAATTTGTGCTTAATTTGGAATTTGTAACATTTTCCAATAGCATCAATTAATGTATTGTGTTACGGAGATGTATTAACCTGTCTGAGAAATTGGAGCTGCAGTTCCCCTTTACTAACTTTTGTTACTCCAGTTGTCGGGGGGAAAAAAAGGCAGTTCTGTTAAAATATTAAGAATATTTCTTAATATTTATGTCACCTGGTTCTTCATTGCACTGCAATAACTTTTTTGTGTCTAGTGTGGATCCACCTTTAGGCGCTTACTTTATTGGACTCTTTGTTTAATTACATGATTGTAAATGTGTCCAACAGTGTTTTTAAAACTGTTGAAAAGCTGAAAGTTACATATAACATCTGTTGGATATAGTTTCAGTAATGAAGCTTTATAAGATTAGCAGCTGGATTTGGGGGGAAAAACAGCTGTATATTATAGTTTGGCAATTGGCTTGAGTGAAATGAGTAAATGGTTCTCATCCTTTCTAAGCTGGTATACTTGTAGCTGTGAAGCTGAATTGATTAATAATAGGCAATTCCAAGTTAGGGTAATTCAACATTAAAATAAATAACTTTCTGAATTTAGATATTTTAAATATTTAGATTATATATAATATTTCGATTATAGAAAAATAATATCTATGAAAAGGGTGTGATTATTTTCAATTAAGAAACTGATCATTTGGAACTGGAAACAAAAGGCAGTAGCATCCTCATGACAAGGTTTCTGAAAACCTGATTTGACGCTTTTGTAATAATGGTAATGACTCTGCAGCAGTCCTTATGACTGCATAATTGTACTTGATTTACATTGTGTCCTTGCTTGTAGCTTAGGGCATTTACAGTTCACTCTTCAATTATCTAGTTATAATGACAATTGCAGAAGTATATTGCTCCCAAAAGGAAAGCTTTAGACGTACATGAGAGAGTAATATTATTTTCTACCCAGCACAACAAAGTTTTTTTATTTATATATAGCATCTTTAATAGTAATCAAGACATTTTACATTAAGCCAGTAAAGACAGGTATACACAAATTAATATAGTAAATTAAACCAGAATTAAAAGCACAGTATAAAAGTATGTTTTAAGACAGGATTTGAAAGTGTTAGTATGGGCTGGCAGATTGTCCCACAGCATTAGAGTTGCAGAACAGAAAGCACAAATTGTTTGGAAACTGAAAGAAGGTTCAAAGAGTACAAACAATGTTTAGGTGTGTTTGGAGTAAACAGTTAACAATTCACTGATTCAGTCAGGATCCAAATCACTCAAGCTCAAGCAAGGTGAGCAGCAATGTTTTGAATTTTAATGGTTGATTAATATTAAGTTTTGTGTAAACGTAAATTTTGTAGTCATAGGAACAGAAATGGAAACTGATGTCTTACTTATGAAGGATCTGACCCAATAGTAACATCCAACCATCCAGTTTCTTACGGCTTCACCCAATTCAGGGTCGCAGAAGATACGGAGCCTATCTTGGCAAACAATGGGCGTAAGGTGGGGTACATCCTGGGAAGAATGCCAGTCTTTTACTGGGGCACACACAGACACAGACACGCACACACCCACTCCAGGGACAATTTTCCTAGAATCCAGTTATCCTATCAGTTGTCTTTAGACTGTGAGAGGAAACGAGAGAACCTGCAGGAAACCCACGCAAACACAGGACAAAAACTCCAATCAGACAGCACTCCAGGTTTGGAATTGAATCCATGGCCCCAGCACTGTGAGGCAGGAATGCTAACCACTGAACCACTGTGCCTCTCCAATGGTAATATATAAATACTAAAAAGAGTAGGACCAAGAACAAAGCCCCGCTGGGGGTCAGTTGCAATTGACTTTATTGAAGAGAATTATTGTCCAATTTGGATCCATCATTTTCTGTTAGTGAAGATTTAAACCATAACAAAGCAATTTCTCAATAATTCCAGTTACCCTCTCTAATCTGTTAAGTAAAATTGCTTGAGCAACAGTATTAAGTCAGCACTGAGATCCAGCAGCGTAATTATTGATGGAAAAACATAGTTAGAGTCCTCCCAGTCCAGACGTCATGGATTTGAGCCTACTCCATGTCACTAGCAAACAGCAAGAAGTACAGTTGTCTAAGAATCGCTGAGTGCATGATTGGATTAGCCAGTCAGGCTCAGTCAGCTATCAGCAAACAGCAACACCTGCGCTTCTTGGGCACTTGCAGATGTTCATACAGAAGTTGTGCTACCTATGACAAGTTAAATATTAGTGGTTTTGTGAAGGTGGGCTGGTCACAGGAGTCTGCCTACATTTCCTTGTTATCTCCTGTGTGCAGTCACAGAGCCTGTAGCTCTGATCCAACACATGAAAAACACAAAATATGAATATAACAAAACATAAAAATTAAAATAGTAATTTAAAAAGTTTAAAAATATATTTAAAAGAGTTGGTAGTCATTAGCAGAGTATAAGTAACTTGGTACAAGAACCATTACCTAAAATTAAATATTGGCCACTTATAACTTAATATTGTAATATTATAAATTCAGGATCATTTAAGAAAAACTAAAGAGCTAAAGTGTGTTGCAAAAATGTCTGGGTCACCCTGTGGAAAACTAGCTGAGGATGTTAAGCATTTATGACTACAAGTTGTACTAATTTTTCATATTACAGAAAGCGCCTTGCAACAGTATTTAGACCCTTGCACACTTTTCATATTTTGCTGCTTTAAGGCATGCACTCATGACAGTTTGAAGTAGCAATTAATATTTGTTATATATACAATCTACTCTACACACTCAAAGCACAAAACAGAAAGAAGTAGATTAAATGAAAGAAAAACTGAAAAGTCAAGATTGCATATTTATTCAAACCCTTTTCAGTGGGAAGCACCGATCAGGAGAGGGGTACAAAAATATTCAGTGAATATTCTTGTGAGTAGGAGTATTAAAGGAGAAATGGATCAAGGTAGGGTGTGGAACTGATGTGGAACAGAGGGGCAGACAGAAAACAAAGTAGAACAGGAAAAAAAGGTAGCACCCCACAACACTTGACAACATACAGTGATATTTCTAGGATTCACCCCTCTTCTTATACTCATTACAAAATCATTCAAAGGACAGGGTTGCACTGGAGTGGCTTGAGAATAAGATAGTGTATGACTCTGAAATGTAAAAAGTCCTGACTTGAAACTTGTTTAGAATTTGTGGAAAGACTTTTAAATTGTTATTCATATACAATCTCCAGGCAGCTTCAGAGTGTTTGAGCAAGTCTTCCAAGATAAATGAGGAAATAATTGCATCAATATGATGTGTAAAGTTGATTGACCTAAAAAGACCTACCTAAAAAGACCTGCAGCTGTAATTGCCGACAAAAGGGCTTCCACTAAATATTGAGTTCATGGGTCTGAAAACCTAATGCAATCAACATATTTCACATTTTTTTCACTTTAGTTTTTGCTAGCATTTGCTGCAAACGTCTTAACCTGAATGCTTAAAGTTTTAAATAAACTATTAAAAGAATGTGTATGCATCATTTTATAATGTAATTTACGTGGGACTAACAATAGGAAATTGTTTGCAAGGCACTGTATATTATTATAAAGTATTTCACTTTTTTGGAAATGGCTTTGTACTTACTTTTTTTATGGTTATTTTGTCATTTGAAAACCTACACATCAGTCAATTTCCAGTCAGTTTTTTCTGCATTACTTCAAAATGGGCAATAACCCCATTTTACCGTGTTGACAGTAAGAGGGAGTGCCTTGTTAAACTGCAGTGAGATTGCTAATCCTGAATTTCGTCTCCTCTCAGGTGTGCAGAGAGCATGCTTTGTGTTGTGCCGGATATTTCTGCATTCCGCGAGGGATGGCGGTGGGTTCGTCAGCCGGTCCAGGTTCCTGTCACTTTGGTCCGTAACGATGGGATTATTTATTCCACCAGCCTTACTTTCACATACACACCAGAGCCAGGGCCCAGACCACACTGCAACGCTGCTGGGGCCATCCTTCGGGCAAACTCGAGCCTGATGGCATCCAGCGATACCAACACAAACAGCGAGGGAAGTTACACAAGTGTCACCACAAATTCTACCAATGTCACATCATCAGCAGCAACGGTAGTATCTTAACCTTCAAACTGACACAAAAGACTTAAAACTGACTTTTCAAGTGCTGCATAAGGAAAGAAGAAAAAGAAAAACTAATCTTCGGCACCCCTTTGTGGTTTCCTAGGGACACTCCTGTTTGATCTTATGTGTGGTGTATTGAAAGCCAAGATCAAAAACAGGTTCGGTTACGAAACCGCAACAATGATACATCAGCCATGTAAAAAACTTTATTAAAGAAAAGTCTATTTTTCGCTTTTTGTTTTTTTTTTTGTTTGTTTTTTTTAAGGGGCAAGATGTATTACTGTGGGTGGGACCTGAAGGTTAAGCAAAGTAGAAGAAAGCATATAAAACATGATAACATAGTTTTTATGGACCAAGGATATTGTATAAGCTTTAGTAAAGGTACATTTTCACCATACCTTTTTTGTATTAAACATATAGTACACTTTTGTTACCAAATAGTTTCTATTTTTCCTCTGAGCTTTGGCTCTGAAGTATGTGCAGGTTCCAGTCCTGACCTTGCTTGTATATTATAGCTACCTTACTCTTCCAGTTAAACCTGTATTTTGGTCTTTGGCTGGAACTTTATTTTTATTTTTTGTTTTTTAAACTGAAGTCTTGTGACTTTTTACAAAACTGAAGGTGTGTTAATTTCAGTATCACAGAACCTCAAGAGGGCCTGTTTTATTTTCAGATATGAAGTCTTTAAAATGAAAGCTTTAAGCAATGCCTCTGCCTTGCCTGCAATACACCATGTACACTTTTTAATTTTAAAAAAGAAAAAAATACATGAGCAGAAGCTGCTCCTTCTAGTTCTTCCATTTTTTTATTTTCTAGCCTTCTTATGTAAGTCCTGAAATCTGTCCAAAGTATTCACATTATCACTTTCTGAAACCATGTACGATCAGTGGTGATATATAGTTGAAACTCTACATCATTCACCTAATTAACAAAAGACAATGGCAGATGATTGCTTTTTAAAATGGTGTTGGTGCATTACTTCTGTCCATCATAGTATGTAAATGTAAAGAATACAGTCAGATGTATCTAAATTATATTTAAAGAAGCCTAACCTTTACTGAAGGGCAGCTGTTTTGTTCTTCAGTGGTTTAGAACTCATGACAGTGTATATATGTTTTGTTTTGTTTTGTTTTTTTGCTCTTTAGTGTATCCCTGCTGCACCATTTTTGTCTTCCTGGTATCATTCTTATTTATATCTTAACCCCATTTTCTTGAATCCAGAAAAATTCTGAATAATGTGCTCAATGTCATGAGGTTTCAGAGACTGATACTTAAATTTGTTGTGGCCTTACTACAAATTTTGTGTAAAGTGTGTTTCTAAGTGTTTTTTAATCGCCTACAGCCATTTGCTCTTTTCTATTTTGCCTTTCATTTTTAGCAGCTGACTTTTTATTTTTTACTTTTTTTAAACATTTGTGTTAAAGTTCTGATATGTGTATCTTCTAAAGGCTGTCTGGATACAAAATTCTTCATACTGCTTCATATTTTTTTATGTTTCATGGAATGTCAGCCTAACATGCACTGTACAGTTTATTATCGTTTAGGTCCTTTGATGGAAAACAAATTGGTTACATTTTTATTACATTAAATGACTTCAGGCTTATTCTAGCTGCAGCTTTATAACTCTTAACTATTTATCTTGTATCTGTTTAGCCATCCTTATTTTTTAACTGGAATTGCTGGTCTGTGATTTGGCGCCATCTTTCATTAACTGAAATTGCCCAAACTATTTTTTTAATGCAGCTGTTATGATTTGAAGGCACTTACTTTTTCCATTTATAGATGGAAAATGAATTTGAAAGCAGCTTCCCTAGCAAGTTCAAAACACCGAGCCATTGCCTGTCAAGTTGCAAGTAAAGCAAGTACACGTTTACCAGTACCCAGGAGAAAACCTGGCTCGTCACCTCTATTCATTCACTATAGAGTCATAAGTTCAAAACAAGTGATCTAGTCTTAATATATAAAGTTTTGAAATGTTTGTTTCTCCCTGTACAATGCCTCTTTCTGTTAGTATCTAAAAACCCTCAGTGTTTTTTTAGATGTAGGATTCATCTAACTTAAAATATAAGTCTGACAACAGTTTTTCAAAACATTGTTTTTCTTTAAGACTAGTGAAGGTTATATACAACTATGTACAAAACTGTGTTGTAGATCAGTATAGAATAAGATGATGGCAGAAGTAAAGGACTGACTGAACACTGCCCTTGTAGTGGTTTCCTAGTAAAAGATTTGTTGCCTGTCAAGTCCTATAACTGGTAAAATCATTAATTTACAAACTGGATCTATAACGGGAATATATCAACCTGAAAATAAATATTGTAATATTTTTTTTTTAATCGTATGAAAACATACAATGCATACCCCTGATATAGAAACCTGGAACTTAATGAGCTTTAATCATCATTGAAGTATATACCACACTTCCATCAAGCTGTCAATTCTGCTTTCATTTTTTGTTTGATTTCTGTACTTCAATCATTTTCACAACAGGAATGTTTTTTCTTGCAAAATGTTCAGCATTATAAAGCTAAGTGATTTGGCTTTGTGGGTGTCCATTATTCACTTGCAACTGAACCTACTTTATAATTGGTGCCCATTAATGTGTTTCCTGCATGATGCTGTCTTGCAAACTGTGGATTTGTCTTCAATGCGACTCAAATCACTGAACTGAAAGGATGACAGAAACAGCTTTCGAACATATGTTACTGGCAGTAAAAGTTGCCCAAGTAAAATAAAGGCATAAGACAACCTTCTTCAGATTTTTAATTTTGAGAAAGTCCGCTTACTCAAAATTAAATCTGGGTCTGTATGCAAGTTTCCTTCGGCTAAGCAAATGACCAAACCCAAAACCTTGTACACCTTGTACCTACTGTACTTGTATAACAGTAGTAGAAATAAAACATGAAAGATGAAATCCAAACATAAGTTTTAAAAACGTATGCATTTATGTTTATATAAAAAATGCAAACAAAAAGATTAGTATTGTGTACATATTTTAGTGCTCCCATGCTACAAAATTGTGCTTCAGTAAATAGAAATACAAAAGTATCTGAAAACCAATTTTTTCAAATAATTTAAACCACTAATTGAAGAAATCCATTGAAACCTCTGAAGAGTATACAGCCTTTCTGAAAGTTCATCATGGACTTAAGTGTTTGAAATTAAGCTCTAGAATTGTTTTATTAAATGAGGTGACGTATGGGTTGCCCCAATGAAAATTGGTATGTAATCCCACTGATTGGTAACACTTTTCAAAATAATTATAATGGGGAATGACTGATTCAGTCCCCTCCATGCACTCAGACAGGTTGAGTGAATATCTGCCTGAAGCAGGCCTCAAGCAGAATATTTAAGACAGTGTATGAAACACTTCAGCCAGTAGTAGATCATGTACAACCAAATTTCTCAGTACTGTATTGTGATTTCAGTTTGTTGCGTCACAAAAGTGTTTGTGTAAATACAGCGCATACTGATAGTTTCAAATATTTTGTTTTCAAGTGTTTTTATTTGCTATGGCCATCCTTTATTCTCCCAGTTAGTTACAAACCCATTGGCCTAACTGTAGCAAAACAAAATTTCAGATGTACACATATTAAAATATGAAGGTTATTTTTATAAATGACTTTTTTTCCTGAAAATAAATTCTCTCATGTTTTGGGTTATAAATACTTTTGACTTAATTTTTTGTGTCAATAAACGCAGGGTTATGTTCAAATGTTTAGCTAAAGGTAGCTACATTCACAAATATTTATTTAGCTCTATAGGGCAAAATAATTAATGGAAGTAAAAACCACCATTGTTTTTTTATATAAGGCATATTTTAGTGATTGATGAAGAGCAATATAATTGGCAAGAGAATATAGGTCAAGCTTTATTTCTGGTAGCAATTTCACATTATTGGCGTATCTAATTGTATCAATATTTATCTAAACACAAATGATCATCATTCGTGTCCATTTGCTAAGGTATGTTTAGTGCAGTTTTTCAGTGTTCCCAGTGATTTGTGTGGTCAGTTCAGGTTCATCCAGCCCATGTTCATGATGTCTTTGCAAGTTCCGCCTTTTTGGACTTCTGGAATGTCTTCCTTAATTATCAGAAACGGTTTTGTACCCAAACGATGCAATCTCAACAATTCTCGTAAAACCTAGATATATTAGCAAAATGGCAATACTGTGGGTGGTTTGAATTAGAACTGAACTATGTGAATTGTGAGAATAACTCTAGTACTGTTATTTGAATGACTGCATATGTCTTTTGTCCTCCATTGCATTTTGGATAATACACCTTTATGAATAATAAAGCGTGTTATGGTTTTGTTCTTTCATAGAAAAAACATATATTTGAGGGACATTTCCATATTCTCAACTTTTGCAGCATTTTATATACCCAGTATACAATGTAATATTGTGTTTTTTTAAATTATTGTTGATAGTGCTTACCCTTTGTCTATTTTGTCCAACAAACAAGTGCATTATGCCCCTAATGCCTGATGGCCTTTGAATGATTAACAAAGGCCTTTTGCTACTGTGGATTGATTAAGGAATGGATTAAGAATGTTTGCTATGAGTCTGCATAACAATGTAGTTTCTAGCATCTCTACGTAGAATTGCATGAATATCAGAGTGAAACTGATACCGTTCTTACTGCAAACAGCAGTAACTTTAACCCTTTCTTATTCTGTTTCTCTAGCTTTCTACATAATTAAATCAAAAGACACAATCGTTTGTTTATTTTCAGGCTTTTTAAAGTAATAACCATTTTAATTGCCTTCCTATTATATCTTTAAATCTGAGATGTATAGCTGTAAGCCATGATATTTGGGACATCTAATTTCCATTGAAGCTAAGTTTTTTTTTTTACCCTCAAACACTATGAAACTGTAATGAATTCTTCAAACTGGAAGTGAAATGAACCTAAACGCTGTCAATTTTGATAGGATATATATGTAAACACAAATGATCGTCATTTTAAATTAATTTGACTGTATATATTAAGAGTACTATATAGTTAAAGATGACCTGGGTTTTAACTAGTAAAAGCATACATATTGTTTTTCCAAGAGTAGTTAAGAGTAAAAAACTAAGGTCAAAAGTAGTAACCTTAGTACTTGATGATTTGTGTCCACTCGGTTTATGCAAAAGCAGCCAGAGCATATCATTTGAATTGGAGGATGGGAATACTGAACAATGTTACACATCAAGTCGATAAAGTAAATATTCATGGTGACAAAGCTGACAGAACAAAGACTTTTCAAGTGTTTTTTTTTCTTATTTTTCATTTCTTTTCATTGACCTTTTTCTAATGTACTTTAGTTGTTTTTCCAAAAGCAGCTGTTTTCAGATGAGCTCTGAACAAATATGTGTACTCTAATATGCCAAATTTTGACTTTGATTTTCATGCACTGCTATATGGGATTGAGAGGCAGCTTTAAAAAGAAATGTTTTCTTATTAAGCCCTTTGAGAACTGAATTTGGTTCAGCCTTACAACATTGTCTGCATAATGCACTGCACTCTTGAGTAGTACTCTCACCACTGTGTTATATGTAGGTATTATCAGAAAGTGTTCTCAGTGCTCAAAGGGTTACGTTGTAGCACATGTGCAGATGTAACATTTTAGCAATAACGTGAAACAAGGGGACAGTTTTGATAAGTTTTTTGTACATATTGCACCTGCTCAGTTCCATATTTCATTAAACAGAAACCTACAATATTGGCAAAAATCAAGAAATAAAAACTGAAATGTAAACCACTTTGTTGTTTTGTGTCTTGTTTTAACAAATTGAAAATGGGTAACTCAAAAGAGTCTTCACTGATGGAGTAGGGGTTGAAAGAAAACAGACTATTGTGGTATTTCATTTGGATTGTTATTCCTAAAAGCTGTTATCTACCTCAGTTTACAGAGCAAATTAATAATTTGCTAATAAAAATAGTGATTAAAATAAAAAACAATTTTGCAAGGATGCTACTATACATTGTATGTGTTTTGTGCTGTCTCTGATACTACAAGATCAGTTATAGGGAGATAGATTAACAGTGTATGCAGTATATAAATACATGCTAAAATTAATAAAACAGATGCTTGTCAAGGTTTGCTGTTGCTGCTGAACCTAGCAATGGTAAGTGACTTCTGCTTACTAAGAGATAACTCACTGTTTGGTGATGTACGTAAAAGAAAGGGATGTGCAGAAGTTGCATTAAGGTCCTGCTTTGCAATTAAGTTATTTGAAATGCAGTTTTGATCTGGATGTAATGGGCATGATACTACCATGTAAGTTTAACTTGTTTTTCTTTTAGCTTAGGTAAATATTGACCTGGAGGTTCTCTGAATTGTGTTGTACCATGCAGGATATATTTCAGAACCTAAAGGGATTCATATCTTCTGGAAAAAACCTGCATCTGACAGTTGCCAGGTGACTGCCTTCAAATTGGGGTAATAGCCATTTGGGTCTGTTTGAGATCTGCCAAGATACAGGCATTTGTTTCTTTGCTTGAATTTTTATGGTACCTATTACTGGTATAAAACTGGCGGTTCAAAATTCTTAGTTTAGTAGTTTTGTGTATTTTAAACAATTACTCTAATAAAAGGGCAGGATTCTATATTCTAAGCAAATTTCTGACTGGAATTGAACCCAGGACCCAAAAGCCTGATTTGTCATATTCTCTTAACTTAAAAACAGTTTTGTAGATTTGTTTTGACAAAAATGTCTTTGTATGCTTTCTATGGTTCCTTTTTTATTATTGCCATTACCTGCTTCCAGTGTACATTGTATCTTATTGTTTTGCTGTGACTTTTTATCTTCATTCACTTATTTTAGCATCGGGAGCCCTGTGGTGAATTAATAATTCAGTATTAATAATCTGCTTTTAATTCCAAACTGTCTCAAAGTACTTCACGTGTAGGAGGGTAACTACTTTGTCCACCACTGAAGTACAACACCACCTGGATGCACAGCTGCCATTATGCTCTAGCAGCCATACTACAGAGTAGTGCAAGGGGAGAAGTTAGAAATGAAGGGACTGTGCTAGACTGTGCAAGGCCAAGTGGAATTTAGGTCAAGTGGGATTGATCACTCTTGCGAACACTTCCAGTTGATTTTTAAAGACCACATAATCAGGACCTCCATTTAATATTCCATTTGAAAGATGACTTCTGCTATAGCATAGCATCATGTTACCATACTGGGTTACTGGTTTGGAAATTTGGTCCAGAAGGAACAGTGTTACTTGTTGGTTCACCACTTGCAGAAGGAACTCTTTGGAGGTCTTCCATCCCAATCTTGCTTTGATATTGAAAGCTCATGTGACCAGACTACTGGGTGTTGTATAGCTTGTGCCTTGAAAGTTGAATAGAGAATATTACAAAGGCAGCAAATACCATGAAATGGTGATTTCCTCAAATGCACTTATTATGAGATGGGCAAGAACACAGGTTGAGATTTTTTCCATGTATTTATTTTTTACATACCGTACATAAGTAAATAGGATTTACTGAAGTGTACACATTTTAGAGAGATTTTTAAGTCTAATGAAGCATGAAGCAATGTGATGAAAAATTATTAAGACATAGATCGGTAAGAATGCAGTTAAGTCACATCTTATAATGTTATGGATACATTCTTGCAACAAATCATTCAAGCTTCTGAAAATGAAGTGAAATGGCATGTTACTCTACATAACATTCCACTGGTCTATGAAACCTTTGAGTTTATTTTGCTATATACATATCTAAGCATGGGATAACAAAATTTCTAATGTTAAGTAGCAGTGCCATGTGTTTCAGTGTTAATTGCTAGCATGAATGATTTACCTAAGATGAGGGGGAGCACTTAATTTAGGCAAAGCCATATTGACCTGGGTTATTATCATGCTGTTATGTTTAGTCTAATTTGCCATCCTGGGAGTATTGCAATTTACCAAGTTTAATAGGCCCCGTCCTGCATATGTGGTTATTAGATGATCCAGCAAGAATTTAATACAGCCATTCTATAAGGATCCCAGACATTCAACTTTAATAATATGGCTGGTCTCCTTTTTTCTAGAAAAGCAAAGCATTTATCCAAGATTGTTCCATACCCTCTTGCATTAGGAGATGAGTCACTTACTAACTGTTGTTAACATTGTCACAGTCCATCAATCCATCCATTTCTTTAGCTATCCAGTACAGGGTTGTGAATGAGGCAGAGCTTATCCTAACAAGTAATGGGCAAAAGGCATGATGATACACCCTAGAAGGCACCCCAGTCCATTGCAGGGCATGCACAGGTAAAAACACACAAACTCATTCCAGGGCCAATTAACCTACCAGCATGTCTTTGGACTGTGGGAGGAAACTGGAGAAAACCCATGTGAACATTGGGAGAACATACAAACTCCACACAGATAGCATCCCAGGAATGGAACCCATAGCCCCAGACTGTAAGGCTGCAACTAAATGCCAAATCAGAGGAATATTTAATCCTGAAAGAATCGAGGATGGTTATACTAAATTCCAATTTTCATTAAGTGTACTTAAACTAAGCAACCAGGTCTTATCTTGTGCGCATTATTTTTATTTTACACAACTCCCCTGTCTTGAGGGATAAGGGACAAGGCCTGCTGATTTCAAAATGTTTCAGGGTCGGTCACCGAAGGTGCTCTGCATCCTGGCAATTCCCTCTAGGAAGCATTCACAAGCTAGTCACTACCCTGAGTAAAGCAGTACCCCCCCAGTGACTGAACTTGGGAGTGGGAACGTATTGGTGTGAGGTTTATGCTAAAACTATAACAATAATAATACTTTATTTTATATAGCGCCTTTAAAGGTGGCTTCTCAAAGTGCTTTACAGAATGTCAACAACAATAAGTAAAAAAAATACACAAGATAAAACAATAACAATATACAGAGGAGACTGAGGATGGTGGTACTAAGAAAAGCAGAGGTGTGAAGAATGGAACAGTTAAGTAAAGGCTTTTCTGAAGAAAAAGGTTTTGAGTCTGGATTTGAATGAGTTTAGAGAAGGTGACTCTCCGATATCCTTGGGCAGAGAGTTCCAGAGCTTGGGTGCAAAACAGGAGAAGGCCCTGTCACCCATACAATGTAGACGGGCTTGGGGGACAGTAAGGAGACCAGAATTTGAAGAGCGAAGGTTGCGAGGTGGGGAGTACGACGATAATAGTTCAGACAGGTTTTGAGGTGCCAAGCCATGCAGAGCCTTATAGGTGAGCATGAGGATTTTAAAGTCAACACGGAATTTGACAGGAAGCCAGTGCAAGGGCTCCAGGATAGGAGTAATGTGGTCACTTGCACTAGACCTGGTCAGGATTCAGGCTGCTGAACTTTGGACATACTGCAGTTTGTTCAAAGTAGATTTAGATACCCCAGCAAGTAGAACATTACAGTAGTCAATTCGAGAAGAACACAAATGTGTTGATCAGCTTTTCAGCAACAGTTAGTGATCGAATAGGGCGAAGGTGAGCGATATTTCAGAGGTGGAAAAAAAAGATGTTATGACAATATACTGCATATGTGGGTAGAATGTTAATCCAGAATCGTATATCACTCCAAGAACTCAGGGTGACTTTATAGTCTCACAGGTCGGAAATATGGTGTGTCACATTAGAAAACTTCACTTCTCTTTTACTGTCTAAAGTTGTAACATGAGAGTACCCATGACACACATTTTCCATGGACAATTAGTGAGCATAAAAAACAGAAAGGAATGCATTTCAAACCTGTATTGCTAGTCATGTAAAATCAAAGTGTTTGGCTATAAACTTACTGCAGCCTAATTTTAACCATTTATGAAGGCAACCTTAAACTATATGTGGGAAGTCACAATTTTCTTATCCAACACTTCATCTAGTGTATTTTCTTCTAAATATTGCACTACATTTATATAAGACATGTTGATACACCCTAGAAAGCGTTAACTGTTTGAGGGTAAAAAACAAATCAATGCAGTGTATACAATATGTGTATGTATACATAGTATATTTAGTTTAATTAAAATTAATATTAATGTAGTGTCAGGGTTTAAAAATGGGGGTAATTGCCACTACAAACAATGAAATAATCTTTTCAGTTACATTGTAAGCTGTAGTAAGAGGTACTATTAAACAGTTAAATGTTTATTTGCATGCCTACAGTAAGTACTCCTTTAAAAATATAATTCTTTTTAAGGATTACTAGTTGTATTCTGAAGCTAAAACCTATTATATAAAGAAGACATGCATAAAATTGTAATCCTGTCTGGGTTTTTAAGCTTTTATGCCTCAGATACAAAAATGCATTCATTTCACTAGCTCTGAAAATTGTACAGTGGTTAAGAAATCACTCACAAAAGTGCTCTGTATAGTGCTGACTTAGTTTTTTACTTATCATCCTCCAAACCATTTTTTTTTTCATACTGTCTTACTTTAAATCTGTTTCTTTACATCTCAGTTCACAGCAACAACTCCCACCGGCAACTGGGAGAATGAGGATGGACACATAGGCTTCTTTACCTGCCACCTCTCTGGGGTCATTCATGACATTAAAAACTCCACGGTGCCTAGCAGGAATGTAAATGGTGATTGAAAGAGTGGAGCTTCTTCGTTGACGTCACTGAAAGCCTGCAGGAGCCCAGGAAGTTGCTGCTCAGCCAGCAGAGAGCTTTGGTTGACTACATCTAATAAACTCCAGTAGTGTGCTGACAATTGTGCACCGATGCTTGGAAATTCTCTTCCATTCGGAATGTACTTTTATTCAAAAGGCCTGTTAACTATGACTTT